TTGTGTTTGTAGATGGACGTTTGGTCATTTGATTAATTTGGACACAGAAAAAAAAACTGATTTTAATTTGAAATAAAAATAAAATACTAACATCTAAATCTGAAAAACCAAAATAAACAAAACTATTAATGTGAATAGTAAACAACACATAAATGGTAGAGATCCAAATGTGACTAACCTCAAGGTCTGAAAACTCAAACCAAGGGCAGCAATCCAGTATTTCACAAACAAAAACTACAGCATCACGCACGAGGAACCCTGCATCTGCTTCTAACATATCTGATACCTTCATGAATTGCAAAACAGAATTATTCCATGTCTTTGTACAAATTGAAGATTCTTTCCAAACAGTCTTGGCCGGATTTTTTTGATTCATTATGGCCATTCTGTATCTAACCCAGAAGTTTTTGTCTGGATCACTACCAACTGACTGATCACTCTCTAAGTATATACATATAGTGTCAAAGGACTCATATACGCCTGTATCATGAGAAAACAGTCAATTAATCAACATAAAAGGTTACACGGACATATTCAGTGGAGAATTGACAGGAAATAATCACCTACCAATTCGAAGCTCACATCCACCAGCTTGGAAAAACTCACTAAAAATTTTGCGATTTTCCATTATTTCCTTGAAAGATGAGAAGTTCTCCACCTTCCAAGTGAATGCATTTCTCTTTCCAACACTTCCTACCTGGGAAGAAGTGTTTGTTGATTCAGTATCCTGACCAGTTAAATCCTGCATTATTGATGTCTCTTTCAGTATAAGAACCTCAGCAGAAAATGCAACAGTATCCTGAAAAAGAAATCCAGAATCCTGATCAAAGAGGCTGGTAAGTGACACAAATTCTCGCCAACCCCAGTCTTTGGCAGCTTTAGAGTAGCGGTTCTGAGATTCTTTTGTAACTGACTTCTCCTCCACCTTTTGATTCATAACTGACAGACGATGACTCACAAAACAGCTCCAATCACTAGAAGTATTTCGTGAATCTGTAACCTCAAGAAACACAGAAAGGTGGCACGGTGGCTGAGACTGCCCTGATCCCAATCAAGCCCATAGAAAATTTTAATCAGTTCAATTCCAATATACAATTTAGAGATGATCAGACCAAACTACCTTGCTTCGGATGCAAGAATCATAAGACTGATTGGTAACCAGATTACAAAGGTAAAATATAGTTTTTGCTCCAGAGTCGCAACAAAATAAGAATTCCAAATGATTTTGCATTACAAGATTGTATGAGCATAAAAGTGACAAATAGCTGCCCTGCAAGTATTGACAGCTAGCAAAATCTGTAATCATTTCCCTAAAGGAGACTTAAGGAAGGTGCTATTAAATCCAAAACAATTTTCAAGACCCTTGGTATGAATTTAGAGACAAAAGACATGGATTATCTAGCTAATTCATTACCCATTGGATTAAAAAAAATAGTAGGCTGAAAACTACCATAAGCATGCAACCACATTACACTAAATACTATAAGATAAAAAGAAGGGCAAAATGGTAAGGCATATAACTTCCATAAACTTGAAAAGCCATGCTCAGTTTGTCTGTAGAAAATGATCAGGTGTCCAGTTCATTGCTAAAGAATTACAATGATTCTTACATACCTCGAGGATAAACAATGAGACGACAATCCCAATTTCCAATCTGAAATCTTCTGCTCTTGATGCAAAGACCTGTTATCTTCCTCTTCTTCAGAAGATCCTTCAACCTTGTAAAATTCTCAATCCTCCAAGTAAATTTCCCCATATGCCCATCTGACTTCCTTGCACCACTCCCACTCCTCCCAGTAATGAACCCACCATTCTTGGAGAAACTACTAAACTCCTTGATCACATGAAACGAAGTGCTAAATACCGCAGTATCATCCACCAAAAACCCTGCCTCCAACCCAACAAAATCTGACATTTTCACGTAGTCATTCCACCCCAAACTTGTATTATCCCCACTCTTATTGTCAGCTGCAAACCTCCCATAAGAGTCCCTATGCATATGATTTGACCCTGGTTTCTGATTTAGCACTGAAATTCTAAACAAACACCAACAACTCCTATCAGAAGCAACGGTTTTCTCGGTATCCTTACTCTCCAAACACATAGACAAATACTCCTGCCCGTTAACCGAGCTTTGATACACACTAATCCTCAGATTACACTCCCCAGCAGGGAAAACCGGGCTCATTATCTTCTGCGTTTTGATCATTTCCTTAAACACGCTAAAGTTACGCACTTTCCAAGTGAATTTTCCACTCAAAACATCAGAAACAGGACTGGAAACAACCGACGATATCATAGAGGACAATGAGGATTGGACATCGTTAGTATCACGCGCGAAATTAACGGTTTCATTCAAGATTAAGATATCAGCGGTGATTAAAACAGCATCGTTGTTGAAAAGGTAACCTAATTTGGAATCGAAAACAGCAGAAGGAGTGAAATCGCACCAACCGTGAGATTTCTTCTTGCTAGAGAACCGATGCCACGAATCGCGATGAATGGTCTTGGAATCATCATTTAGGTTGACGATGGCCAATCTGTAGCTAACGAAGCAGTCCCATTTTGACGAGGACGTCCCCCGCGGATCCATGATTTGGAGATAAACCGATATGTAACCCGGCAGAGCCTGGGAGTCCCCTTTTGGATACACCAATAAACGACAATCATAACCGCCTACCTCAAAGTACTTACTCCATAGTGCCCTAGCTTTCACTCTCGGGAAATTATGAACCGTCCATCTACAAACGGCCGAGTATTCCCCTCGCCGATCGACGGTTACGGCTTCCTGCGCCCCACCGCTACCGTCTCTTAACCCCACTCCAGCTAAGTCATCAGCGGCCGATATCGATGCCAAGGGTTCGCTATTGTTGTTGTTGTTATCAGATACCGATGCTGAGGTGGCGTGTTGTGATTGGTCCGGTAAGCTCGACGATGAGGAAACTGTCTCAGGCATGCTGTGCTTCATTGCTCCCTTTCACCTTTTTGCTCCTTTTTTGCTTCGATATTCTCTGGATTTATACTTTTCGAGCTCTGATTTTGGGCTCCCTTCTTTTGGTCTGTGCTTTATAGAAAGGAAAAGAGAGGCGAGAGCCTTTTATGCGGTTTTACGAAGGTAAGAGAGGGGTGCACCAGACTTTAACCTGCACCTCGCTGTATCTTTGACCTTCCCCGTACGCTGCGTTTTGGTGTATGTTAATGATCATCCACTCGGTGCAGCTTAAGAGGATTTGCGTAGGTCCATGGGCCCACAAAGAACGCACGTGACCGAGGATGATTGGATCCCATTGGGCAACGTGTCATCATTTCGAGAACTTTCGGGACCCATCCTCTTCAATATCTTCACATTTTTTGTAGTCAACGGCTAATATATTTCTTTCATTTGATTATACTCCTATATCAGAGTACTCGGTAAACATATAAAATTATAAAGCATTAACAGTGGTATATATGGCAAGGATACTTCACTAAATCAAATTAAATATCAACGGAGAGCATATTATCTTCTGACTAGAATGGCCCATAAATTCAGTGGCTATTATTAATTAATGCAATGGGACCTTTTGTTGCCCTACCATTAATAAAATTAAAATTAAAATAAGTAGTACACTTCTAGGCATAGAACAGATATAACATCTCTTTCAAACGTTTAACTACCATTTTTTCCATTCATAATATATGACTTAACATCAAGCATGTGCAAATAAATAAATTATTTCATTAACCATTGCTCAAATGTCAAGTTTTACTCTAAAATTATCGTTGATTAAATTGTTTTTAAGATATAAATAAAGGCTTTTCACAAATAATTTATGTGCATGTAATTTTACATAAATTTTGAAAGAAAAAGACCAACCAATTTTAAGTTACATCGAGAAACATGATTTACACGAGCGTGGCATGGAAGTTCTAGCCCTTTCACATTGAATAATAAGAAAGGAAAGAGTATGCAAATGGTCCCTGAACTTTTAAGTGACTTGGCGCAAAACTTTTAAAACTAACATTAGAGGTTATTAAACTTTTTATTCGTTTTCATCTCGGCTACTATTGTTGTCGATGAAAACGGCACGAGGACATGCAACATCAGCTGCCATTAGCAACAGTGACCGAAATGAAAACGAATCAAAAGTTCAGTGAACATCACTGCAAGTTTTAAAATTTCGATGACCAAACTACAGGCATCCTAAAAATTCAGAGACCATTTAATGTAGTTTCCCTTAATAAAAATGTAAGTTCATCTCACTGCAGACGAAGTCTAAACAGAAAGATCCCGTATATGCTACCCCCAAGCACAGACTCAAGGCCACACAAACGAAAACAGAAGCATAAGGAAAGGGTGCATGGGGAGTATGGAAGTTGTTCCGATCTGGGACCTCTTGACATCATTTTAGGCAAGAAGGTAGCGCGATACCATCGCAAACAAAAGCCAGCACAACGTAAACAACGACTAGGAGGAGGATTATCAGAGAAACCCTGCAATGTCCAAGGCGAACGAGTGATAAATTCATCCATCCTAGTATATCTTTTATTCTAAGGAGCAAATTTACACATTAAGCTAACTATGCTCATGTTTTAGTAAAATTTAGCTTCTAAACTTAATGCAGTGCATGTAAATATACAAAAACAAAGGGGGTTAAAGTTCAGAAAGCGTACGTAACCTTGACATTTCTCCACCAGGCTGTGTTTCTAAAACGGCGAGTTTGCTTTCTGAAGCGAAAGGTATGCCCTTACATATTAGTAGTTTTGTCAACCAGCAATTCTAAGCGATCACCTCTCTCTAAGACTTTGTCAATATTCTCTGTCATAACAGTTCGCACCTGTTAGAATACATTTAGCACATTAGACCAGTGTTTGAACAGAAAAGCCATAATCTAGCCATCCAGGCACAATTACATGAAGGGTTTCCCTTGGATACAAATGGCTAAATGGTTGGCAAATAGATCAAATGAAGAAAAAGAACTTGTATTCTATGTGCTGAACAGAAAATTAGTTCATCTTTAGAGAAGGTAGAAGCTCGTGCTTGCATTCAAACCCAAATCATAAATGATTAGAAGGTTGGATAGGAAAGGAGCCGGCCAATGGGAACCTAGAAGAAATAGAATACTATTACTTCTAACTTGATTCCAATTACCAAGCATTCAAAACATACCTGACTCATTTCACCTTTCAAACGATTTATCCTATCAGCATTGGGATCGCTGGAGTAATATTCCAGTTGCTGGCTCAAAACCCTCGAAAATTCATCATTCATGCCATACGGCCGGGCCAAAAATACCTATCGGATGTAAGTTTTAACAAATCTCTGATGAACGTCTTCAAGAAATGAAAAAGGAATTCGCCCTGCAAAACAAAACGATAAATATATCGACCTTGACCTAAACAATTTATCATTAACAAATATCATGACCAAAGAGTTCTTAACAATGAAGAGTCACAACACAGAGATTGCCATTATCAATTCTCAATTTGATTCGCGAAAAATCCTTGGGATGTTACTGAAGAACATATAAATTTCAGTCTCCAACTCATCATTCAAAACAGAGTCAAAGGGAAGTAATCATTCAAAAGCAGAAGAAGAGCGATAAGTTCACAGAACATAGCACTTACAGCACTTGCAAACTTTTAAACAAACCCTATATTGTCAAGCAAGTTTAAGGTTCAACTCTCTTCAAAACTGACTATCTTCATCTCTAACAATTTCCCTTTTAATCCGGAAACTAATAACTAATAAATACATTACAAAGCAATTGAAATTGAAACATAAGAATGCCGCACCAATCAAATATAAGTTCATTTTTAAGAGAAAACATAAACTATAATAGGGGATTGACTTACTTCCGGCACTCTCATCAGCCATACAAAGAACGGTGAGTCCATCTGTGCGTTTCACGTGGAAGATGTATCGATCTTGTGAATACGAAACGTTAATGTCACTGTCTCCCGGTATATTGTCTAGAATTTGCCTGGCAACAGTGCTGGCGTTAGTGGAAGCCGCCGTGAACTCCGCCAGCACCACCGATCCACGCGCGACCAATGCGTACAATATCGCCATCTAAAGTCGAAACTCTCCCTGTAGATCGCTTCCCCCGATGAATATAAATGACATTAGCCTTTTATCCTCCTATCTTAGAATCTCTTTTCAAGTCTTCTTCGTCTTTCAGTTTCTTTTTTTCTTCTAATTAGTAATCAGAAACTGATTGATCTTTCTTTCTCACGTTTGTTTCGGGAGGGAAAAAAATCCAGTTTTGGCTTAAATAATCTCCGAGTCAAAGGAAAGGCTAACCCATTTTCAAATGGAAAATTTCCCCAAACGTTCCCTATAAAGAGGTCAAATTTTAAATGGGTCACGTGATTTAAAAAATTTATAATCAAGTTTTGAATGGCTTATATTATAAATATAAATATCGAAAATATATCACCTTATCCAGTTAAGTTCCTAATGATTTTTTTGTCAAAATAGGTATCTAAAGTTAAATTAATGATAAATTAACGTCAATTTGGAAAAAAAAACGTAAAAGTCAATAAAAAGTTGACAAATGACAAGTTAAATAGTTCTCTTCTAACACTCAACTCTTTCTCTTTGTTTCTCTCTCCTTCCTTTGAAGAACAACGGTGACCAAACCATCCTCAAATTCACGCACCTCTTCAAAATATGTCTTAAGTCGAATTTAATCTTCGCTTTGTGCTTCTCTTTTTCTTTTGTTTCTCTAACACTGAGCCCTTTGTGGTGGTGCCACTGCCACCTTGTTAAACCAGATAAAGAGAAAGACTTGAATTTTGGCCTTCCTTTTGATTTAATGTTGTGGCTTTGATAAAAGTTACCAACATTGTCATTGCCATGGCTCTTGTTGTTGCTTCTAATAATGCTATCGCTTTTGCTTCTACAAGTGGTACCGTTGGGTTTATCAAGTTTTGGTTCACCCAATATCTCACTAATGAAAACTTTGTACGTAATCTCTTAAACTCAACCTATAAGTTACGGCTAGGTCCGACATATTACATTAATAATCCCAAAGGGTTTTTCAAGTTTATATTCGATTAAATCTTTCGTATATTGAATTTTTTTAAGGTCAAAAACTACATTTTTATTCCTTACTCTTCTTGAAAATTAAAGTCATATACTGGAATAATTTTAAAAAAATTACAAAGGGTTTCAGATTTTAATCGAGTCAAAAATCAATTTTAAACCCTGCAGTATCGATACTGCAAGAACAATACTGATATTGTTCATGTTGTACCGATACCAGTATCGATGTTATTATGCTAAAATAGGTAGTAGTATTGATACTTGGGATGGGAGTATCGATTCTCTCTTTATGGTTTTGACAAAAACGAATTCCATTAGCCATTTTTGTATTGATACTATGCAAGTATCGATACCAATATCGATACTCTTAGAGTATGAATACTCCCCTCTTCTAACTGTCAAATTTTGTGTATTTAATGCATGCAGTACTGATACTCTTGGTTGAAGTATCGATACTCAAGACGTCTGGGTAATATTTATTGCAAGAATTTTCATCCCAATGGCTTTATTAACTCTCATAACAACCCAAACAACTAGAATTGAATGAGAAGGTATAAAAACAAGATTTTAAGCCATATGTGAAGACAATAAATCAAAAAAGAAAGCCAAATAAATCACATTGAGCTAAAAATCAAATTCTTGAATATTCTTTTTGCTTTCAAAGAACACTATTATACTCATTTGTTTTATTTGTTTAGTGTTCTTATTTGTTCTTGAATTGTGGAAACATACTCCTAGTGAGGTTTTTCAAAGTTTACAAATTTGTAATTTTCTCTCTGAGAGAGATGTAATGTTACACCTTGTCCTCAAAGGTTGATACAAATTAGTGAATTTGTGAAAATCCTTAGTGTAGAAAGCTAAGGTAGTGGATGTAGACTTTGCTTTAGAAAGTCAAACCACTCTAAAATTCGTTTGTTCAATTTCCTATTTTTTTCTTTTAAGCTTCCACCAAAATTTTTAATTGTCAATTCACCCACTCTTGGCTATTTCATCCTCTTGATTGACTCAACAATTGGTATCAGAGCTAATATCATTGGAAGGCTTAACATCCTCTTGAGAAGATCTTAGGAAGAAGTCAATTATTTCATCATCAAAGGTCACTCCATTCACTTTCAGAATTTTTGGTGAGTCTTAATCCATTTCAAAGCCTCCATATTTTAATGGTCTTAACCATTCTTATTGGAAAAATGGAATGATGATATTCATTTAAGGTATTGATTATTCGGTGTGGATGTCATTATCGATGGAGCATTTATTTTTTTCCAAGATGCAAGGAGAGCTTGTAGTACCGAAGGTTAAACAGGAATGGACTGATGAAGATCAAAGACCCGTTCATCTCAATGCCAAGTCCATGCACATAATATTTTATGCATTAGGTCCCGATGAATATAGTAGGGTGTCTTCATCCTCAAATGCAAAAGATTTATGGGACAAGCTAAAAGTCACACATGAGGGTACAAATCAAGTGAAGAAATAGAATATTAGAATTCTCACTCTCAATTATAAGAATTTCAAAATGAAGGATGATGAAGACATTAAAACCATGTCGGATCGTTTCACTGCCATCATAAACGATTTAAAGAATTTTGGGAAGGTCTATCCCAATGAAGAAGTGGTAAAAAATGTTTGCCTCTTTGCGTACATCTTGGGAAGGCATAACAACCACAATCGAAGAGGCCAAAGACTTGGAATTATACACCCTTGATGAGCTCATTGGATCATTACTCATTCACGAAGGGAAACTCTAAAAGAAAAATAAAAAATAAGAAGGTGGAGAAGAAGAAAGTTGAAATTGCTCTCATGTCAACCAAGGAAGATAGTGATTCTAGAGAGGAAGAAGATGAGGAAATTATAATATTTTCCAAAAGATTTAGAAGATTCATGAAGCCCAAAGAAGGAAAAAGATTTTAAAGAAAAGAGGGCTTCAGGAATGAATCTAAGGAGAATGACCCTATTATTTATTATGAGTGCAAGAAACCAAGACATATCAAGTTTGAGTGTCCCCAATTAAATAAGAAGTGGCCATCCAATAAGGAAAAAAAGGCACATATAGCTATATAGAACGATGAAGAATGCTCCGATGAAAATGAACAAGAAATAACCAACTTGTGTCTTATGGCCATCGAATGAGAAACTAAGGTAACCTCTAGTTCATCAAATTTAAATGAATATTCCTTTGATGAACTAAAAAAGGCCTATGATGAATTGGCCTTATAATTTGATATCAAGCTTTCAAAGAATAAGAAAAATATTTCAAAAATAACAAATAAAAATGATCTCTTATCTAAGACCAATAATGAACTTGAAAGTAAGATGAAAGATATGCAAGTTAAACAAGATGAGTTTGAAAAGAAAAATCAAGATTTGCATAACTTAATTTCTAAAGTTCATGATAATCATTACAAAGAGCTTGATGATCTCAAAGCTTCTTTTAACAAAGTTAGATCAAATAGATATAAAAAAGGTCAAACTTCTAAATACAACTATGTTAAGAATAACTTTAGACATTACAAATGTATAGGTCCCAAAAAACCTCTAATGAAAAAGTTATTAGGAGCATATGGGTCCCCAAAGGGCTCTTTGCTACTAAGGACAAGGATATCCTAGAAAAATGAATTCCTAAGGGACTAGATTATTGAGAACTAATGTCTATGACCTAAAAGAATTTGGGTATCAAAAATAAAAAATTAATCTATGTTTGTAGTTGGGGGAGCATTGCTACAAGGCATAAAATCATGGTACCTTGATAGTGGATGCTTAAGAAATATGATCGGCGACAAGAACCTTCTCAAAGTACTAAGCCTAAAAGTGGAGTAGTAACTTTTGTTGATAACTCTAAAGAGAAGGAATCAGTTCAATTGGTAACAATTCTTCCATTTTAATTGAAAATATTTTATATGTCAATAGTTTGAAGTATAATCTACTTAGTATAAGTCAATTGTGTGATAAAGGATACAATGTCATTTTTTAGTCTAATGGTTGTAAAATTATTGACATTGCATCAAACATGATCCTTCTTGTTAGAGGTGATCTAGTTGGAGGTTTACCAAAGCTAAAATTTAATTTAGAAAAAAAAAAAGTGATGCATGTGCTAAGGGTAAATATAAAAGAGTTTCCTTTAAATTCATTAATGATGTTTCCTCTAGTAGGGTGTTGCAATTAATTCATATTGATTTATTTGGGCCTATTAGAACCTCTAGCTTGAGTGGAAAACAATATGATTTTGTACTTGTTGAGAATTATTCTAGATACACATGTGTTCTATTTTTAAGAAATAAAGATGAAGCTTTAGACAAATTTATCACACTTTAAAAAATAAACCAAAATGAAAAAAGGTTACTTAATTTCTAATGTTAGGAGTGACAATGGAATCAAATTTGAAAATCTTGGTTTTGACAAATTTTGTAACTCTAATGCAATTAGCCATAATTTTTCAGCCCTAGAACCCCTCAACAAAATGGAGTTGTTGATAGGAAAAATAGAACTTTAGAGGAAATGACTAAAATCATGCTTTGTGAAAATAATTTGCCAAAATATTTTTGATGAAAGCCACAAAAACCGCTTGTTATACCATAAATAGAGTAATGATTAGACCTATTTTGAAGAAAACTCCATAAGAACTTTTTAAAAATAAAAAGCCTAACATTAGTTATTTTCATCCTTTTGAGTGTAAGTTTTTTGTTTTAAACAATGAAAAAGACAATCTTGGCAAATTTGATGCTAAAAGTGATTAAGGAATATTCTTTGGATATTCCATGAATTCTAAAGCTTTTTAAGTCTTTAATAAAAGAACTCTAGTTGTAGAATAGTCTGCTCATGTTGTTTTCGATGATAACCCCCTTTCGAAGAATGATTCTTGTGTTGATGATGATGAAAGTATTATGACATCAAATGAAGTTGGTGAACCATCATCTAAAGAGGACATGCAAGAACAAACACAATATTCTCTTGAGGAGCTAACTTTAGAGGAAAGGGAAGTCTTCTACCTAAGGGAATACAATTATGTCAATGATGGTGAGATTTTGGGTGATCCATCCAAAGGGGTAACTACTAGATCCTCTCTTAGAAATGTTTGTAATTATATTGCATTTATCTCATGTATAGAGACTAAGAATGTCAAAGAAGCGTTAAATGATGAATTTTAGA